AGGAGGAGGAGGAGGAGAAGGAGGAAGAGGTGTACGTAAAGGTTGCTGCTTGCTTTGCACTCTTCCGTAGCCACAACCAAACCTTCTTATTTTTATTTTCCTCCTTCTCCCTCCTCCTTATCCTTATCCTCCTGTTACTCTGCCATCTTTTCGTCCCTCGTTTCCTTTACGACGTCGAGGAAAAAGCTGGGCCATCGTTTTGTACGCCTACGAGGTGTCATCTCGAGTGTCCTCATCGAGTATTGTTGCGTGTACCGATCACACGTCGATTCCAATACAAGTATGTGTGTGTGTGTGTGTGTAAACGACGTTTTGTGTATTTACATATATGTTAACGTAGCTAACTTTTGAACAATGTTATAGATAAATTCTCTATATATATATAAACATGTCCGTTTGAAAAACATGTACACGTGGGTGACGAACACACTGATTTCTTATAATATAAAATAAAAAATAAAATAAAATATAATTCTTGAGCGTTTCCAAAAGGTTAGGGTTTATTTTTTTATTTTTTGCTTTCGAGTTTCAAAAAAATTGTACGAGATAACCAAGGTGTTTTTTATGGTCCGATAAGAAAGTAAGAAGTTTCGATTTTTGTTTGATAACAAAAAAAAACAAAAAAATATAGAACGCGTTTCGAAACACGCACGACGACGTTTCGTACGATAACACCATCATCGAAATTCAAGAATATATGGATAAAAAAAAAAAAGGGTAGTCTCTAAAGGAACATAGTTGCTTTAAATATACAGCTACAATAAATTTGTATACGAATTAGAAAGAGAGAAAGAGAGAGAGAGAAACGTCGTTTGTGGTCGTTCAAGATTAGATCTCGAATGTCTAGGAAAAACTACCACCACCCTGTAAAAGTATCTTTAAAAAAAAAAAAAAAAAAAAAAAGAAAAAAAACCAATACATCTTTAGTTTTCTTTATTCCTATGGACCAACCAGTCAGACCTTTTTTTTCCTTTTTTAACCTGAGTAGAGGGGAGGGGAAGCCCTTGACCTTCCAAGAAAGGAAATACCAGACGAAGTGTGTATGGTTTTCTTAAATCTACAAGTTTCTTCTTCTTCTTGCATCTGAGATTTTTTCTCTCTCTCTCTCTCTCTCTCTCTCTCTCTCTCTTTTATTTTCTTTTCCTTTTATATTTTTTTTTTCTTCTTCTTCTTCTTCTTCCTTAAAAACAGGAGGGTGCCCTCATTATCTACATTTTCTCCATGCTTGTATTTTTATCTTCCAAAATCATTTCTTATTTTTCTTTTTAAAACTTAAAAGGCCAAGAAACACACACTTGGATACGCCCTTTTCGTGTAATCCTATTTTTTGGTTTTTTTTTTCTTTTTCTTTTTTTTTTCTTTTAACTTAAATATAATTATAATATTAATATTAAATATATAAATTTGTTAGGTACAATAATATTATTTCTTTATCCAAACTAAACACAACAACAATATGTTATAAAAATAAAAAATATTTAAAGAAAAAAACTACACAGGTAAAGTTAGAAACAGTAACGAATCGGAATTTCAACAGACTGAGAAAAGAGGGACCCTTCCATGAATTTTTCCAGCCCTTAGGTATGTATATACACGTAGAAAAACATCTGCCACGAATTTTCTGGCGATTCGAGTCCTTTCATGTTCGTCAAACGTTGAAGAAAACGAAAAGGTCGTAACTTTCTAAAATTATTCCAAACGAAATTCACTAAACTTACGATGATGATCAGTTCATTGATCTGATGAGTACTCAAGGTAAGTCAAAATTGATATGACTTTTATAATATTTTTCTAATGTTGGCAAAAGGATAATAAGAAGAAAAAGAAAATACAAACAAATAATAAAAAGCTTAAGTTCTTTACAATAAAAGCTCATTTATCGTATATTGCAATTTGGTAAAAGCCACGCCAGTTCTGACCAATTGCAACGAATGCCAATCAACGTGCAACGACCAAATGCAGCAACAATTTTCTTCTTTAAACATTTCTTTATCATTTATTTATATTCATAATTGGACCTAAATAAACAATCAATCTACACGTAAAATTATTTACCATTTGCAAAGATTAATTGTCTTAAAATTTCTATCAAAAGTTTCGATGATAGAACACCATGAAAAATTCTTTTTCCCTATTCCAATACATTTTTCTTATTTTATTTCTTTCCATCTTCATCTCCAGTTTACAATTTAGATGCCACTAGTTTTTTTCCCCCCCAGACGACATCCGAGACGACGACTGCAACGACGACTGCAACGACGAGTGCAACAACGCTACGCGTCGATGCATAATTCAATTCGAGCGGTCTTTCTTTCTGATCAACTCGTAGTTGGACGAGACTCTTCGTAATATTTACTATTGTTTTTCTTCATAATTTTTGTTTGTTTTCTTCTTTGACCAAACCCCTCACCCAGCCCAATGCTTTTTTTGAGGGGGACGAGGGGGTGGTTTTTATTCGCTAACCCGCAATAAGGTCAGTGTCGAGACTCGTGACGCGTATAGAACGCTAAACTTTTCTATCTCTTTCTTTCACTTGTATGAGCGCGTGCAGGCAAACGGACGTGACGTTTTGAAAAATTGCACGCGACGATGCGAACAACACCGACGAAATGCATTTCGTCGCACTCCCTCTTTTCCCTTTTTACTTTGCCATATATTTCTATCTCTCTCTCTCTCTCTCTCTCTCATTCATTCATTCATTCTCACTCACTCACTCACTCACTCACTCACTCACTCACTCTTTTTCACGCTAACGTTTCGTGTTAAATCGTTGAGTCCATCGCAGGAAAAAAATTTGACGTTATCGCGCTACAATTTTATTTTTTTTTTATTTTTTTTTTTTTTTTATTTTCTTTTTCTTTTTTTCCTTTCATAATTCTTTTTACTTTTTTTTTTTCTTTTTTCCTTCCATCAACTTTGTTAATTCGATAATTACTCGATTAGAGATTACAAATACAACGTTGTTTCTTTTTGATAACGAAAACACAACTAATATTTTAAATACTTACAATCAATTTATGACAACACAAAATGAAACTAAGTTAAGTTATAACATTGTTAAATATGAACTTTACAATTGTTACGAAAATTAGTAACATTACAATAATATATTTCATTTCTTTTTTTACTTCATCGTCACGATTACCAACACAAATGTACTTTTGTGTAATTTTATCAAAAATATCAAATAGAATGACTTCCAAATTATTTAACACGTTGACCACCACNTACTTTTATGTAATTTTATCAAAAATATCAAATAGAATGACTTCCAAATTATTTAACACGTTGACCACCACGTCCATCATCGATGGCTGACAGTAGACTTTTCCGTTGAGGCCATGTCAACCACCGATGACCGACAGGGTTTAGCATGCTACTTCTAAACGGTGCACTTGGCCTGACGATGAATTCCTTGAAAATCAGCGTGGCGCTCAACGTGTGTTAACATTTTACCGACTTCTAAGATTTCAACAGCATATGCACGTCTGACCAACAGTTCAGACGCAGATTTTACTAACAAATTTTAATAAGATGCTAAATACAATTCTAATAACAAATTACTGTTCGTGTAATGATTGTGACTCTTTATTGCAATGTCAACTAAAAGCTGATTAATCAATTTTTGTTCGGTAAGCATCGGTAAGAAAAAAAAAACTTATTTATAGACTAGCGGTTGTTAAAGTGTTAAGAACAAAGTATACTTTAAAAAAAAAATACTTTTTCACCGAATCTCCCTGCCATAATTATCGACACATATATAAAACCACACACACACACACAAAACGATAAACGCGATTTGACTGATAATCAGCTTAAAAATAATATTCCTGGTAAAAGTTCTAATTCTAGAATTCGGTTTAAGGAAAAAAAATAAAAACAAAAAATATATATTTATATATTGGAAGGTTGGAAAAACGTGGTTCATAGTAGGAACGAGGAGTCAGTTAAAAAAACCCACTAGAAAAGTGTTATCTCGATCAAAGAACGCGGAGGGTCGTTTGAAATATTTCTTCCTCTGAGTTTCGAAGGTCTCGTGTGTAACATGCTCGGTAGGTATATGTTGTAGTATATATATATATATAGTATGTTTCTGCTGCCTTTGGAAAAAACAATGTAAGAGAGAGAGAGAGAGAGAGAGAGAGAGAGAGAGAGGGGTCCCTTCTCTTCTATTCGAGTATATTCCGACGGAATTCAACGTTGTTACGCCTTTATGCTACATGATTATAATACACACACACACACACTATCTCTTTCTCTCTTCCTCTCTCTCTCTCTTTTACTATCTCATATATATATATATATATACAGGAATACATAGAAATAAGCACACAGAAGGAACGGTTCGTAGCACGTTTCTTAATTAGATTCACGTAGGACGAACGATCGTAAATCTCGCCTGGTCGCTACCATTACAAATGGCAATGAAATCTTCCTTCGAAGTAGCTACTTTAACTCTAGGACGGCACACTACTTATATAAACAGTACTGATCGTAAATAATTTCTATTACTACTACTAAACTACTTGCTACTACTACTACTACTACGACTGCTTCTTCTTTCTCACTCCTATATATTCTTATATATGTATATATATATATATATATATATATATATATATATTTAGTATATTAATTTATTCCTGATTGTATCTATCTTTCTAATGAGATTTATAAACAAAAATTGTAACTGATTCCTCAAATTATCTATGTTAGATAATATTTCATTAATTCAGATTACAGGCATGAAAGTAAAGTTCCTATTATCAAAACATTTTTGTATAATGTTCATTAACTCATTTTGTATTTTTACTATGAATGATCAAATCCTAAAGTTCTTGCCGGAAATGATATTGTCCAACTTACAGTCTTATTATAAATAATTCAAATGAGAAACAATAGTATTTAGAAATTAGTGAAGGAATTGACGAAGGTGTATCTGTTTGTCTCCCTTCATTTTCGTAGGGTTTTAGCGAGGGTGTAAATGAGGAAACACTTACCAGCGAGTCAACCTCCGGATCTGCTATATAGTAGGGCTTCTCTTGTCTGATCTGTAACACATAAACATTTATATATGTTAGTTTGAGAGCTTTAATAATTAAAATCATCCTTAATTGTGGTATAAAAGCAACAAGATCGTATCATCCATACACATATACACATTTACACGTACACATACACAAGTAATATACCCCTTCTCTTTTCCTTCCTACAACGATTTCCTTCTCATGCGTGCTTCCTTTTAATTGGACCCCCGTCGTTCGATTCTTACAAGTAAAAATATTTTTATAAAAGCGGAAACACGTCGATGAACTCAATGAAATTCTTAAAAGTATAAATAATAAGAAGACCAACAAAAAAAAAAGGTTTAACAAATTCTAAAAAGATTGTCAAGTATTTTTATCAATGATATTTCAAGAAATCAATGATCACAAACAAACAAAAACCAACATTATTATATTAACTATATATAAACGTATCATATACTTTGTGTATATGTGTGTATGTGTGTGCGTGTGTTATTCCATCTCAATGACGATGCAGAAAAAAATGAAAAAAAGATTAAACCTTTCATCTGCAAACCAAACGATCTGATTAGATGCATTCACGATAACGATTGATATCAATAAAATTCTTTCATAGTATTCAAAAACATTCACCTAAACATTTTGTCTTCATTACTTTACATTTTTTCTCAAATAAATAAGTAATTATTATAGATAAGCAAACCCCCGTAACATTCCAATGGCACGCAAAATTACACAGCTATGGGGAATTCAATGACCATTACGTTTACGATTTGATAAGATTACAAGGATGATACTTCTTCTGTTGAGTAGTACCAACAAAAGGGGATAGATAAAAATAAAAAAAAAGATAATAAAAAAGATAAAAAAAGAAAGAGAGAGAGAGAGAGAGAGAGAGAGAGAGAAGGAATAGTTGGAAGAATGAATCACATTGATTGAAAAAAAAAGTAAAACCAAAAAAACATATTCTACATTGATACAGTGTAAGAAGGAAACTAGAATATCAAGTAAATTTCTGTAATATGTTAGAATTTATAAAATGCATGTTACACGTTAACTATAATTACTAGAATAATCATTAATTACAACGTTGATCCTTGTATAAAGATCATAGATATATCATACACATATAATTAAGATGACATTCTCGATTACCATAATCTGATTAATGAGTCTCGTTGCAAAGATTGTATCACAGTGAATGTAATATTAGTATTTTTCAAATATTAAATAATAAATACATTTATTTTATTTTATTTATTAATTAATAATAGCTAATATTTTATTTATTAATTAATAAAAAAATATTACTATACGAATATTTATAAAAAAAAAAAAAGGAAAAATAATATAACAATATTGCAATATACAATTTTGAAATATCAGTTATTATCATAATTACCAACACAATTATCTATTAAAATGATATCAAGATAATGTTGATTATTTATTATTTATTAATAAATAATAAATAAATATTACTATACTAATATCTATAAAAGAAAATATAACAATATTGCAATATACAATTTTGAAACATCAGTTATTATCATAATTATCAACACAATTATCTATTAAAATGATATCAAGATAATTTTGATTATATTTTTACTCCCACGTATCGTATAATTTCCCTTTTTTATTCTCATACTTTAATCTTATCATCTGTTTTTAAGATAATTTATAATATATTTCAGTTTTCTTCTAATTATAAGTAAATTGGTTTCTCGTAGATGCGAACTTTGTTAGAAAGGTGCTGAGTGGAACGAGTAGAACGTGTCGACATTGTCACCGTGTAAAAATCCCTGCTCTCTCTCTCTCTCTCTCTCTCTCTTTCTCAAGTAAAAGAAAAAAAGAAAGAATGAATGAAAGAAAAGAAGGAAGGAAGGAAAGAAGGAAGGAAGGAAAGAAGGAAGGAAGGAAAAAGAGAAACGAAGTAATGAAATAAGTCCGAAGAAACCCAGAAGAATTCCCAAGGGTGGGCCCAGTCTATTCATGAGCCTGAATTCTGAATAAGTGACTCGCGTATCGAGTGTATAGGTAATGAAGGTATCTTTTACAACAATAACAACAAAAAGAGATCAAGAATAAATAACAAAAAATTACTGTCAACTGTTTGTGGGAGTTAACATAAAGTAAAGTAAGGTAAACTTGTTAGCTTTTGGTAGAGTGTAAAGGATTAATTTCTTTTCAATGGGTCCCCTGTCTTTCGTGTTTATAGTTTTTTTCGATTGGTCCCAATAGAATTTTTTAACACTATGACTTCCGCATGTCTAATCTAAGTTTTTTCGTGTCAAAAGCTGATACTTATATTATTTTATATATATAGAGAGAGAGAGTTTAAAGTTAACTTATAGTAACTTAGAGTGAAGTTGATAAACGTATAGTAAAGTTATTATTAATATTATATATGTAATTAATATAATAATAATACAATAATAAATTAATATAATATAATATAAGTTATATTATATAATATAAATAAAATAATAAATTATTATAAGATAAAGCTAACTTGTAGTAACTTATAGTAACTTATAGTGAAGTTGATAAACGTAAAATAAAGTTATTATTAATATTATATATAATTAATATAATA